AATAGCAAATATCATTTTTATATATGTGAGATTTATGAATTTTGAGATATTGTAGTGTTGGTAATATATTATGGAATGACTTAATAAAGAAAGTACAGATTTTAGAAGCGTGAGAGTTAGTGTGAGTACTATTAATTCTGTCATCTTGATTCCATACTGAAAATGTACCAAGCCAGTCAGTACTTTGTAATAAGAATTGCATATTATATTTGATTCTCAGTTCATTTTATCACTTGTAAATACTTAAGTGATGATGTATTTTTTTAAGGAATATTCTCAAGTTAGTATCTATTAAAATAGCTTGGTTGAATATAGATGTAAATTTGGTGTATGATAGATGATGATAGTTGATGTGAAGATTGTCTGTATTATGACCTTGATTAGCAAGTTTATCAACTAGGTTATTGTCTAAATTATTAGAGTAACCTTTAACTTTGTGAATCATGATATTAAGAGTTTTATTATTAATATTACTATCAAGAATTTTTCATAGTGGCCAATTTGGTTATTAATATAAGTAATAGTTAGATTGTAGTGATCGTAATATAATATTATTCTTGAACCCTTGAATAGCTGATTGACTATCAGAAAAAATGGAGACTTTTGAGTTTTCTGATAAGATTTTTGATAGGGTGCAAATAGTAAATAGTTCTGTTTTTATTGTGGATAGTGAATTAGTTATTAAAAATCTAAAATCTACTTTAGGTGGCCATGAAGTTCATGCTGCTCCTGCTGATATTTTGGAAAAACCAGAATTTGTTATTGATTCATCTGTAAAAAAATTATTATCTGCATCAGCTAGATTTAGCTATATTTTTAATTAGTGCCAACATGAATACAGATCAGAATTATTATTAAAATATGTGGAGATATGATGAGCTGGAATTTTGTAGGAGTCTTTACTATGGCCATATTATTTATTAATAATTGTTAAGTCAGATGAATCACTATGATTAGTGACTCTTTGTGTTAGAATAGTAAACTATCTTGACTCATATTCTTGTTTGATTATATGAAATTTGTATTTGTATTATTTCCATGAAATAAGTTTTGTATTATTATACTTAGTAAACTGAGACAGAAATAGAATATTATCTTGTGAGAGAGATTTTCTATAGGTTTTATAGATAGGTCAGTTGTTTAAAATTTTTGAGATTGGCCATCTGTATGAGAATTGTATTACTATTAAAGTGTCATTAGAAGAGGAGAAGAAAGATATGCTATATTGATATATTAGGAATATTATGCTGATAATAAGATTTTTTTCAATAGGAGTGGATTTTGGAGTTAGATTGAGAAGAATTAATTCTTCTATCCATCATTGGTATTGAAGCTTTTGTAATCTGATTTGTATAGTCATACCCAAAATTGTTTTGTCATTGAGTTGAAGAAATAATTCAGAAATTTTACTTTTTGCCAAGATATCTGATAGATTTTCAAGTACTAAGAGAGCAGAATAATATAAAATAGAATTGAGACAGTTTGAGAAAAGATTTGATTTTTGTTTTACTATTTTTTTGACTTTTCTCATTATTGATTTACAGAAAGTGGCAGAAAGAACAAAGAGTTATGTTTTATATTCAATAGCAGGAAATAATACTCTGTTAAAGATATAAATAGCTTATTTTTCAGTAATGAACTTTTTTTCAAGAAGCGAAGTTATAGAATCTACATCTGCTTTGATTTGTTTTTGTTGAGTTTTGAATTTTCTATCTGGACTGAGTAGAATTTCTAGATATTTGATATGATTATTATTATAAATAATTTTAAGTTCTGGATCATCTGGATTGAAGAATAGCTTGGTTGGATTGACTTGTTTATCAGGATTAATTATTATTACTTCTGTTTTTTTTGTGTTAATTGCTATGTTACACATTGTGAAAAATTATTGAGCCAATTGGAGTATTTGAATCATATTGCTTTTGGATTTGGCTATCCAAACTGTATCATCAATGAAAGCCAAGTTAGATATATGGATTTGTATTAGATCCGGTTTAAAGTATGGAAATTATATTGATGAATTATTGATATTGTAACTATGGATAAGTTTGATAGAGTTAGTGAAAATAACATAATTATATTATTTCCACTTAGTCTAGATTATTTTCACTCAGGTATGTGTCGTGATGACAGAAATGTGATACCGTTATCAGTGTCATGATGACAGAAATATGACACCATCATCAGTATCGTGATATATATTTTATGACACATTTTTAATGATAGAAATGTGATACCGTCATCAGTGTCATGATATATATTTTATGACACATGGATAAAAAAATATATCTGATGATACATCTAATTATATATCATCATTTATGGGCCTGACGTGAGAGCTATGCCTGAACTTGGCATATAGTACCTTAGCTTTCTGATTAATTCCTCAATGAGGACCAGATTTGAGATACATAATACTAAAATAGTATTCGTATTCTGGCTTTGTATGATGCACTCAAATATCGATCGAGGATGAGGCACGTAGTGCCGAATTGCTAACTATTATAATTCATTCAAATATTGCCCAATGATAAGGTATATAATGCCGAATTGTTATCTATTATATTATCTAAGTATGAGACACATAGTACCAAATTGTTATTCCTATTTGGTAACCCACCAAAGTATAATTTTATAATATATATATATATTTGTAATAATTTTACTTTGACATCCTACCAATTTTTATAAAATATTATCCCTATTTGGTAACCTATCAAAGTATAATTTTATAATATATATATATATTTGTAATTTTACTTTGACATTCTACTGATTTTTTTTCAAATTATATATCTAATCATATTTTATTATTCACCAAACCTTGACCCATAAATTTTAATACTTTGATATCTTACCAAATTATAATATCCGATACTTTGACGTCTTACTTTTTAGAATACTTTGATATCCTACTTTTTTAGAGTACTTTGTATTTCATGAAACATATCTCAAAATATATTACATGTATATTACTTATCTAGAATTGCATCTCAATCAAAATCACATAACATAAAAATCTCTTTATATGATCCAGATATCAGAATATTAATTTTTTATTTGAATTTTTTCTCTTATTTATTGTAAGAGGTGACAAAAAATCCCCCTATCTGAGATAAATAACTAGTTAAATGTAACAATCTCTCTTCTTCAGAAATTATTACTAAAACTAGATGATATTGTCTTAGTACCTTTTATGCTTGCTTTATTGAAAGATTTATAATAATTATGCATATTTAATGATTGCTAGAGATTTATTTTTCAATTCTTTTTTGTGCAGAGTAGTAGAAACTTTCATTTTAGCCTCAAAATTTTACTTATATTTCAGGAAAGCGATCTCGTCCATACTCTCATGCTCTTTTTTCTTTTTTTCTCTCAAGTTCAAAAAAAAAGTGATATCCCAAGATATATTTAACTAAAATATCTAAAATTGAGTGATGAAGGTAAGATTATATTAGCTTATCCAATCTATATATATCACTAATTTTCATTAATAACTTTTTTATATGCTTTAGTAGAACCTTCTTTGAAGATAAATCAGAGAATATAAAATATAAATCAAACTTAATATATCATACCTATAATCCGTTTGACCAGCCAGAGTTAATAGCGTATATTATTAAAAATCTAGTATCAAAAGATCTCGCAAAATGCCTTCATATCAATTAAATATGGAATAAGAAAGCAAAATGTGAGTTCTTTATAAGGCAAGAAAAACTTGAAGATATATTTTGGGAATTAGATTTAGAATTAGAAGAAGCTAGAGAAGAATATGTCTGGTGGATTGGTGAAGCTAATCTGAAAATCAAAAACTCTTATGTAAGAATAAATTTTTTGAATAGTAAGTTGTTTGGAATTGTTAAAAGACTGCAAGAATTAGAATATTACATATTGAGTAATAATATCATTGATAGAATAGAGGGGGCACATTATATGTATAGTAAGGTTATTTCAATATGAGTCAGTATATAAATATTGAAATATTCAGTTAAATTCTAATACTTGGTTATCTGACCATATATTCTGCAATCAATCACTTTTCCTCTCAAATCCCCATGTGCATCTCAATACCCTCTCAAATCTCCATGTGCATCTCAATACCATGAATCACATAACCACGATAATCAACAAAATAAGAAAAATATATGCTGATAGTGGTGATATCAAAGTACTTGCCATAATGAGAACTGTTCCTATTTTTTCTATCAAAATCTGAGGATATGATTCAATCAAAGAGAATGTATTATTTTCCGGCTATGCAAAGTAAGGAGTCATATTCGGTATTTCTTGAAGTATATTGTTGTTATTACCATGTAATGGGTTCTTGACCCTAGTTTTACTAATATTGATTTCATCACTTACCTTGGGAATAATCTCAGTATCTACTTTTGGAGATGAGGCATAATCTTGAATTACTAATTTTTCAGGTATAGAAGCATTTTTATCATCAGTGTGATCTAGTATATCTGTATCGATTTTTCCAACTTGATCTGTACCTTTTCCACGTATAAAATATTGACTGAGATCTTTACTAGGTATATCAGATACAATAACATCATCATTCTATGAGATAGAATTTGGTATTTTTTTTTATTTGCCTCACTGCCAATTTTGATTAGTTCTAATGATAACTTGGATTCTAAGGAGTGTATCTCTGAAGTTTTCAAGACCAGATCATCTTTCATTTGTTTCAATTATTCATCTTTCGAAGCCAATGCATTCTCCATATGTACCAATTCACTATTTTTCGAAACTAGAATAGAATTCAAGGCAGATAATTTAGTCCTAAGGAGGTCAATCTTAGATTCTTTTATAGACAAGTCCTCTTGAGCTAAAGATAATTTCATCTCTAATATCTTCATCTTAGATAAGAAATCTTTTATTTTTTTGGATTTTATACGAATCTTGTCCTTGAATTTACTAAGTGAAAGATCTTTATCAGTAATAAGAGATTTGAGAGTATCTATCTTTGAGCGTAATTGCTTAACCTCATATATAAGTTAATATACATACTTGGAGAGTTTCTCATTATTGTAACATAATTGATCATTCTTCTTATTGGTATTTATACTATGATTTGAATATACCACTTGCATATTTTTGTATTCACTAGTAATTTCAGAATTGGACTTGATACTATTATATAATGCCTCCTTGAGTTCTTGTTTGTGGATACTACCAAGCCTATACCTCTGCCCTTGTATTTTTTTGGACTCCATGCTCTTGGTATCTTGCAATATACACATCTTGATCATGTTATTTTTCTCATATATTAAAAAAAAAATCAAGGTTAAGTAATAGATATATTATATATACTTTTGGTTTACCAATATTACCAATACTAGTGATACTACTGATATTATTAATAATGATTTTTATATATTACTGATATTACCGATATTATTGATAATGATTTTTATATATTACTGATATTACCAATATTATTGATAATAATTTTTTATATTATCGATATTACCAATATTATTGATAATAATTTTTTTATATTATCGATATTACTAATAATATTTTTTTATTACTAATACTATAAATATGACAACAAAACCATGTGATCTGATGCAGTCAAACTATCACTAACAGACTATGATTATATTATATAATATAAAGATGTAAAATCCAAATCTCTAGATATGCTTAGAGACAAATATTCTATGTCAAATACCTGTTTTTATCAGATATGAAAAGAGAAAGAGATTTGTACAAACACTTGGAATTCATCTTTAGCCAATCTAGGGAATGATATTTCAATATCTGTAGTTGTGGGAGAGAAAAAAAAGAGAAAATCAAAATCCAAGTCTACTCGCATTTCTGATTAGTCTTTTATTAATAAAGATCTAGATGCGATAATATCCTCACTCTGTAAGACAGAAAAGATAGGCAGAATTTCAGAAGCAAAAAAAGAAATTACACCATCTGTTATCTCGCAAGAGACTGAAGATATTTTGGAATTACATAAGAGAAATCAAAAAGATATAGAAAAGATTAGAGCAAGTGGTCATACTCTTATCTCTAAATTATCTGTTCCTTAAATTCATGAGTGTAAAATCAATATTTTGTTTTATAGTGGAGCTAGTATCTCTGATACATATCGATCACACAAATTATTATAATATCCAATTACTTCAGAAACTGATTAAATACTGGCGAATAATACCTTTTCAAGTTCTTTTTCACGGTTTGACTTATTCTCACAATTTATGCATTTTTTTTTAAAGTTGAACTGTCAGAATCTGGGCTAAAGCCCACAGAAGCACATCACTTTTTGAATAGTTTATTATCATCCTCATTACTATTGCCATCCTGTGAAATTTGATCAGATATCAAAGGCTTATCATCTTGAGATGTGGTAGTACAATTTACTTCAAGTTTATTCTTGACTTTATGTATGTTTATCGGAATAAAATACTCTTTACCATTACATACAAGCTTTAATTCTCATTTCAATACGAGCAAATCATAATCATATTTATCTAGGAGAGTATTTGGTAAAATTAGCATGGGTTTGGGATATTTGACTACCGCAAAATTGAAACATATAGTACAATCTGGAATAAAGTCTACTACTACATTTTGGATAGTTCCAAGAGATTCTGTAGGAATAGTAGCAATACCTCTAAGATCATGTTTTTCTTTCATATCAATTATTAACTTTAATCATTTAGCTATATCTTCAGATATAATTAGAAAATTTGCACCAGGATCTACCGTGGCTATCAGGATTATTAATCGTTTGATCTTGCATTTTGTAGTTACAACATCTATAGCCAGATCTTTTCTCTGAACAAAATCAATTTCCATAGGATCATCCAATATCTCTTCATCTTCTAAATCAGGTATTGCTGGGATCAATTTTTGGTGATTTATAAAATCTGAAGTAGTTAAATATTTATCTTCAGATTTAAGTTTCTCTAACTGATGCAGGAGTAAGATCTTTTTAAACATATTTAATAAAATTTGATGAATATTCTGCTCAAGGGTAGTCACTTTATTTTGAGACTTACTAGAGGTGGCAACATCTTTCTGTTTAGTCTTATAGGATTTAGGTATTTTCTTAGAGGACAATCTACCTTTCTGCTTTACTTTTTTTTTTTGAATTAACAGCGTTAATAATTTTCACAATTTCAGTCTCAGTTAAGTCATTCACAGAATCAGATTCCAACTCAGAACCAGTCTCAGAGTTGGAGTCAGAATTGGAATTATTATCCAAAGAGTTAGTATCAGATTCAGAATCTGAATCTTTAGAAATCTTATTGATATTATCTTTCTTCTTGGACCCACTCTTAGATTTTCTTTTCCAAGTATACTTGCGAGAATTATGTCTGGTCCTATTGTAATTTGAGCATCTGTGTTGAGATATTTTCTTAATCTTCTTCTTGATCTGTCTAGATATAGCTCTATTTATCGACAACTTACTCATATGATTAGCCAGTTCTTCATCTGAGTCAACTTCGACATTTTTTGATGGATTCCCTCTGTTTTTCTTAGGTAAGAAGGAAGAAAATTTATCAATTATTCCTTTAGTAATTATATCTATTAATGATTGTAAAGTAGATGGATTTGCTAAAGCACTAAGATGGTTTGTTGCATCATCCATTCAGGCCTATTCTGGATTATTCAAGTGTAAAAGTGAATCTCAATATATTTTACCTGGTTCTATTTGACTGGGTCATAATAATTGTACTTCTTGTCTTTGAGGAGCTGTCTATAAAGAAACAGGTTGAGATTATGTAGAAGTCATATGAGAATTTACATAGTTTTCCATTTCATTTCTACTCACACCTGTGTTACTCAAGTAACTGTCTTTTGCATTAGCTTTAGATTGTAATCAAGAAATAACAGGGTGAGATTCAGGATTATACTAATCCAACATCATTTCAGTCTTCTGTCTTTCAATTTCTTCTAATTTTGATAGTAAAATGGAAATTGGATATTCGAGACCAATACATCTTACTTCTATTTTATTATCAGGAGAAAGGCCCTGAAAGAATTGCTATTTAACCATTTCTTCTTGATTCAATGCTGGAAGTGCTGGATAGGCAAGACCAACCATTCTTTTCAATTTTGCATAAAAATGACCTATAGGATCAGTACTTTGAGTAATGTTATGAAATACCACTTTTGATTTTTCAGCAGTTATTATTGGATAATTAGTTCTGAACCAGTATATTATCTGTTCAATGCGAATCTCTGAAGCTATAGTATTTCCTCCTGCATTAGCATTAGGAGCATTAGGTGTTAATTCTGTTGGTCGATCACCAGATATTAATCAGTCTTCATCAAAAACGGTATATGCTGGTACTAATGGTATAGCAATTGGATTATTGTCAGCTGGAACTGTATTTCTTATTTGAAGAGCTCTGCCTCTAAACTGGTTAGCATTAATATTGTGCAATGCATTATTATTAACCAATCTATTAATAGTTCCAAGATCAGTCAAATTGGTATTGTCGCTAATATTTTGTAATTCCTAATTTTTATTCTTGAGATGAGTTTCATACCAATCTTTTGCATCATCTCTTAAACAAGTTTCAAAAAGTTCATGAATTCTTACTCTAGTTTGAGCGTCTGCAAGTGAATCAAGTCCAGATGCTTTACAATATTATCTAAAATCTCTAATCTATTCTTCAGGATCTTCTTCAGCTTTTCCGTAAAATAAGATTGGTGCATATCCCGCTATTCCTCTATATTGATTATTTATAGATAAATTATTCTGAAGTGCAAATATTTGTTGATTCAAATTCAAAATTAATTGCTATGAATTGCGCTCCCTATTTTTCCACTTGATATGACTTGCTTTTTGATCCTTGAATTTATTGTAATATCTATTAAAAAGCTGATCTCGATTATATTCTAATAAATCTTTATCACCTCGACATTGTTGTAGCTCCTATTCTAAGTGATAAATGAATACCTTAAAAATAATTTCGAAAGTATATCTGAGTTTAAATTGCTCTTCTAATATCAAAGTAACATTATGCCACAAATACTCCCGCATATCATATTTTTGTTATAATTCTCTATCATATCTTTGGCACCTCTGGAGTTTAAAATTAAGTATAAATTTTTCAAGTAATAAAGTATTAATCCACATCTGCATTTCTCTTTCAAATTGCTGAGTGATCCCTCTCCATCTACGATATTCTATCTGCTCATTATTATAAGCTGTAGTCATTAAAGCAAGATTATTTTGAGAATTGTTACGCTTTAGTATAAGTCGGTTAATATGATTTTGCAAGATATCTTGTACTTGAATAAGTTGATTGGTTTGATTCTGAAGATCAGCATTTTATTATCTATAGTAATTGACATCTTGCTGTAGTTGGACTATCTAATTATTGCTATCATCTCGTTGAGCGATAATATCATCTATATCCTGGTATGCAGACTGATAATTATATCAAACAGTATTTAAGAAGCCTCTAATACCTTCTATAATATTGATAGAATTATTTAATGGTATATCATCTCTAAGATATTTTTTAATATGATACAAGCCTTGTTCGATTTGTATAAAAAGGTCAAGATTCACCATATCTATATCTTTCTCTTCTGAATTATATAAACTTGGAGAGCTTCTTCGAGAAGAAATAACTTTGAATCTATGCCTTAGATTTTGAATCCGCTCTTCCAATTCTTGTAATTACTTCTCTATATTATCGATATAGGATACCTTATCTTGGATTTCCTTTTTAGCTTGATATAAGCTTCTTTTAAGAGATGATATCTCTAATCTTAACTCGGCCTTTTCTTCTTCTGAAGCATTTTCGAGCTGTTCCAGTTCTTTATTGAGGGATTGAATTTTATTCTCACATCTGGTATATTTGCGCTCTAGCTCATTTATGTATTTCTCATTCGATTTGTTGATGGCTATCTCTGATTGTAATATCTCCTAGAGTTCTTGGTTAATTTGCTCTAGCTCAAGTTTTTTATCTGTAGCTGATCTATGAGTTGTTCGATTGGGAGGTTGGGGTCTATGAAATGCCATGATTATTACGAAGTAATAAAATTCTGTCTCTATTTTTTATGATATATTATATTATCTTATCTCTTGACTTTGCTATAATAAGTAATATCAAAAATGAGTAGGTCTTTAGACTATGCTTTGCATAGATTGAGCAAGTCTATTATTAGAATTGATCCAGATGAGAAGTTAAACTTAATTTGTAAATTGCTTTTTTACCAACCTACTGGCTACCATGCCAATTCTAGAAAATTATATAAAGACCTC